TCTTGCTGTCCCCCCCCATACGCCCCCATGTCCTCTGTGTCCCCACGTCCTTCTGTGTCACCCCGTGTCCCTCTGCATCCCCCTACGTTCCCAATGTCACATCACTGTGTCCTTCCACGTCCCTCTGTCCTCAACGTCCATCTCTGTCCCCATGTCCTTCTGTGTCCCCAGATGTCCCCACCTTCATACGTCCATCTGTGTCCCTCCATGTCCCAAATGTCCATCTGTCCCCATATCCCTCCGTGTCCCTTCATGTCCACATGTCCACCTCTGTCACTGTCACCCTATGTCCTCATGTCCCCATGTCCATCCCTGTCCTTCCATCTCTGTCCCCATGTCTCCCTATGTCCTTGTGTCCTTCCATGTCCCCATGTTCCTCCATGTCCCCACATCCACCTCTGTCCCAATGTCCCTCAGTGTCCTCATGTCTCTCTATATCCCCATGTCCTTCCAAGTCCCCAGTGTCCCTCCATGTCCCCACGTCCATCTCTGTCCTCATGTCCTTCCATGTCCCCATGTCCCTCCATGTCCCTGAGTCCCTTTATGTCCCTCCATGTCCCCGTGTCCATGTACCCCCATGTATTTTCATGTCCCCACGTCCCTCCATGTCCCCACGTCCATCTCTGTCCCCACGTCCCTCAGTGCCCTCGTGTCTCTCTATGTCCCCACGTCCATCTGTCCCCACGTCCATCTGTCCCCACGCCCCTCCATGTCCCCACGTCCTTCTGTGCCCCCCCACGTCCCCACATCCCCCCCCACCCCCAACGCCTCCCCCGCCCCTCCAAGCCCACCCCATCCCCTCCGTGCCCCCCCCCTCGCCGGTCCCTCCCTCACCTGCCGATGATGCTTTTGATCTGCGAGTCCTTTTCCGCCTGCTGCTGCCGCAGGCGCTTCTCGCTCTGCTCCAGGCGGTGCTGGTACTGCAGCAGGATGCGGCTCGTCTGCTCCTCCTGCGACACCAGGCGCCGCTCGTACTCCTCCAGCTTGCGGTTGGACATGTGCAGCCGCTCCTTCAGCGAGTGGATCTCCTCCTCGTACTCCTTCACCTGCCACAGCGCACACTGCAGGGCGCCCGCCGGACCCTATGGGACGCACTGCGGGGTGCTTGGGGACCCCCCCCCGTGGGGCACAGGGCGGGGGGACCCAGGGAACCCCAACCCCGTGGGGACGCAGCGTGGGGTGCCTGGGATCCCCTGTGGGACACGGCGTGGGGCATCCAGGGACCCCCTGTGGGACACGCTGCAGGGTGCCTGGGGGCATCCACGCCATGGGGACGCAGTGTGGGGTGCCTTATGGGGCACAATGTGGGGCATCTGGGGACCCCCACCCCCTGGGGGCACAGTGTGGGGGAACCTAGAGACCCCATATGGGACATGCTGTGGGGCATCCAGGGATCCCCCTAAGGGGACACAGTGTGGGGTGTCTGGGGACCCCCTATGGGGCACAGTGTGGGGCATCTGGGGGCCCCCACCCCGTGGGGACACAGTGTGGGGGAACCCCAACCCCATGGAGACACAGCATGGGGCACCCAGGGCCCCCCACCCCATAGGGACACACTGTGGGGGAACCCAGAGAACCCCAACCCCATGGGGACTCAGTGTGGAGCACCTGGGGACCCCCCTATGGGACACACTGTGGGGCAACTGGAGACCCCCGATCCCACGGGGACAAAGTGTGGGGCGCTCAGGGTCCCCCACCCCACATGAGGACACACTGCAGGGTGCCTGGAGACCCCCCCATCCCATGGGGACACAGTGTGGGGCACCCCGGGACCCCCCCACACGGGGATTCCACCGTGTCACCCCATAACTGCGACACCGGGGTTTATGGGACCCGTGTCACCCCCCAGCCCCCCCCCCCGTTCCCCGTGCCCCCCGGGCCCCTACCCGGTCCAGCCGGCTCTCGTCCATGGACTTGGAGTACTCCTTCAGCTTGTACTCCTCGCGCTCGATGTGGGAGCTCTCGATGTCGGCCGAGAGGTGCGGCATGTTGGACACCCAGGCCACCGTGCGCTCGGCCGCCGGCATCACCGGGTTCAGCGTGGACGGCGTCTGAGAGGCCTGGGGGGGGACAGGGTGGGACCCCGACTCGTCCTCCGTGTCCCCGTCGTGTCCCCCGTGTCCCCATGCTCACCACGTCCCCAAGCCATCCTCCACATCCCCATTGTGTCCTCCGTGTCCCCATGCCCACCATGTCCCCAACCCATCCTCCACATCCCCACTGTCCCCCCCATGTCCCCAACTCATCTTCCAAGTCCCCGTTGTGCCCTCTGTGTCCTCATCACGTTCTCCACATCCCCACGCCCACCATGTCCCCATCACCCCCTCCATGTCTCCAACTCATCTTCCGTGTCCCCACTTCGTCCTCCACGTCCCCATCGTGTCCTCCCTGTCCCCACTGTGTTCTACATGTCCTCATCATGTCCTCCATGTCCCCAACTCATCCTCCATGTCCCCACGGTGTCCTCCATGCCCCCATCACACCCTCCACGTCCCCGCAATGCCCTCTGTGTCCCCATCGTGTCCCACACGTCCCCCCCACACACCCCACTTGTCCCCCATGTCCCCATGTCCATCGTGTCCCTGCCATGTCCCCACATCCCCAATGTCCCCACATCCCCCCGTGCCCCCCCCGCGCCCCACCTGCTTGGTGACGGGCGGCTTCATCCCGGCCACCGACGCCTCCTTGGCCAGGGAGGGCTGCCGGGACCGGGGGGGTCCGTAGGTGGGCTCGGGGGACGCCAGCAGATTCCCGCTGGCCGGGCGCGGTTTGGGGGGCACCCCGAGGGCGGAGGGACCCCCGGCTTTCCCCGCCCGCGCTCCCCTCGGGGTGGGGGGCGGGGGGGCCCCGATGGTGATCTGGGGGGGGGCCAGGCTGTCCTGCAGGGACAGCTGCCTCCGGCTGAAGTCCCCCCCGGGCCGAGCGAACTCGTCGCTGTAGCTGTGGCTGTGGGTGATGTGCTTCGGGGGGGGCGCCGACAGCTCCTCGCTTTTGCTGTACCCGTGCAGGGGGGGGGCGAAAGGCCCCTCGCCTCCCCCGCCCTCGGGTCGGAGGGGTCCGTCGGCCGCCAGGTGGAAAAGGGGGTTCTGGAAGGAAAGCGGCACCCGCAACTGCGGACCCCCGGGTTCCGGGACCCCCAGGCGCGGGGGGGCCAAGCTGGAGGCGCTGCCCTGGGACAGGCGGCCGGGCCGGAGCCCCCCGCCGCCCCCCGCGGCCGGCCCCGCGGCCAGCAGCTCGGCGGGCAGGCTGGGCACGCTGTCCACGCGGCCGTCCTGCAGGTCCAGCATGGAGACGCTTTTGCCCACCCCCAGCGCTCGGCCGCCCTCGGGCTCCGTCAGGTCGGAGCTGCTGGTGCAGTAGGCGGGCGAGGAGCGGGCGAGCGGCGGGCGGCTCAGCACCAGCACCTCCGGCGGCCCCTTCTCCTGCGGCGGGGAGGGCAGGCGGGGCACCTCCATGGAGCTGCGGGGACAGCAGCGCCCGCGGCGTCCTCGGCTCTCGGCCCGTCCCCGCAGCCTCCGCCCCTCCCGCTCCATCCCATCCCATCCCATCCCATCCCATCCCATCCCAATCCCATCCCATCCCATCCCATCCCATCCCATCCCATCCC